GGCGCGCATTGGGGTTCAGAGCTGCCATGTAAAAAACTTACCTGCAAGACGCGCGATCCGACGAGCGGGATGGCCTGCGTGGTGTAGTCTGTAGTGGGTGCGCCAATGATCCGCAGCGTCACACTCAGCGAGGGCCTCGATCAGGTCCGCTGGTTCGCGGTGGTGCAATTGAGGATCCGCGAGTTAGCACTTCGAGCTTGAATGCCAGGATACCAGGCCACTTCATCCGTTCGCTCGGGGAAGTGAAGAAAGTACGGATCCAGCAACAGATCCAGATCACACCAACCCTCGTGCATGGCAATCAAGAAGAGCTGCAAAATTTGCTTCCACCTGGCGCCAGCGTGAGATCGACGATTCTTTCTCTTCACGACAAAGAGCGCCACAAAGGATCACTGCGTACCAACGCCGATGAAACTGGAAAGCGATGCGTAGACTCCAAGTATGCGATCAGATCCTGGGACTCCACCGCGGAATATCTCTCGATTTATAATCCTAGGCGACCGTCGACCGTGATTTCAAAGGCCATCTGCTCGGGAATGTTGGCTCCAGTGAGGACGTTCCGGGGAGAGCAGCCATGAGGTCGCGAACGTTCTGGCCCGTGATCAGGTGGCTGCAGTACTGACCCGGCCTTGGGGTGGCCGCTCGATGAACGTGATCGGGGAAGATCCACTCAGGGCGAAACGGTAGCGCACGGGACAGCACTTCCAGGGTCATGGTCTTGATCGTCAGGGTGTTGATCCGTTGGATCACCCATGGATCCACATCAGCGATATTGTACTGGCGGGTCTGCTGACGGCCAGGGATACATTCGTAATCAGCGACAAACAGACGTCGTGGGAGCATAGTGAAAAGGAGGGGCATCCCAGCCGGATCCACAGTAGATTTGCCGCTACCACCGCCACTACTGTCATTGCTCGAGTCGCATCATCGGAGTCATCCCACCCCCGATCCAGGATCTTCATCTCCACCGGCACCGGCACCGGTGCGACGGGGAGCAGCATGATCGCGGCGTCGTTGCTCGGATCTGGTCGAGAAAGAGCCACAAGTGTCTGGGCCTGCAACATATCGGCCAGGACTTCGTCGTTGTCACCTTCGGCTGAATTATCGGGTGAAGTGTCATCCGATCCTTGGCCCCTTCTTCCGGGTCTGTTTTCTTGGGAAGCTTGGCGTCACGCTTGGATCGGGACTTGGACTTGGGAGTCGACTTAGAGGCAGGATCCGAGCCAGCAGGAACATCTGGTTTCTTGGATCCACCCTTCTCATAAGTCAAGTAACGCGGCCCCGGAGTCGGAAGAGGACTTCCACCACCGTCGTCCTTCTCCAGCAGCTGATCTAGTAAATCGTGTCCTTGATCTGGCGTCTCCTAGACGTCAGAGCTCCCGCCCATGTCGTAATTGTCTTTCATCGCGATCCAAGTCTCTCTTGTGACCCTCGGTCATTGGGGTTTGACAGTTCGACGGCCGATCCGCGTCTTAAGAAGGAGGAGAGTTACGAAAACGCTTGCCCGGCGGAAGATCCTCACGTTTATCTCTGGAAGAAGATCCATCATAACGGTTGGGCGGAGGCGTGTAATCAGGATCTTGATCAGACTTCTCTTGGTCCGGCTGCTCGCGATCCGACTTCTCTGGATCCTACTTCTCTGGATCATCAGGAGGACTCTCAGACTGCTCGTTGGCCGAATCTGTATCAAGACAGAGTTTGATGGTAGGAGGGCTCGATCCCATCCCGGCGGCCATGGAGATAACATCTCCAGCGCCGTGCGCAAATCACGCCGCAGATCTGTGCGCTCCTGATTGAGACTGGCCAGTTGGCGGTTTAGAGCCAGGATCTTGGCCTTTTGCTCTGTAACTGAGCGCTCCGCGTTCGCGTACGCGGTCCGGGCCACAGCGACGTCGTGATCTATGGGAAAAGGAAGGAGTTAGCAAGATGGTATGATCCAGATCAAGAACAAGGGACATACTCAGATCTTCGCTCTCATCGCGATATCCTTTCTCGCGCATGACAGCACCGGCGAGATTAACGCACAGAAGCTCACAGCGTGACTTCTTCCGCTTGATCTCTTCAGTACCCTTTTGGATCTAATCTCGGAGGGCGTCGGCCTCGAGATCCTTGGCCTGGACTTGGACATTCAAGGTATCACGCTCTCTGGAGACCTGATCGAAGCGATCTTGGAGCTCGACGCCCTCCGCTGTCAGGTGATCCAGCTTGGTTTGGAGATCTGGCGACGGCTGATCCGGCAAGACTATGGCCGCGACTTGTTTGGTGACCAACCGATCCGATCCAGGGCCAGACATGTGTGGCGAAGCACTCCTTCGGTAACCGGCAACTGATCAGTGGCTTGATCGCGAGCGCGATCCGCCGTGTCGCGCTGCTCCTGTAGATCCAGGATCTCTGCACCCGCGTGCTCTCGCTCTTGCAATAGTTGCGTGACCTGAGACTCCAGATCCACGATCTGACCTTCGAGGGTGTGTACGTCAGCAACAGACAGTTGCAGATCACTGGGAATTTGAGTGCTAGAGCCCAGATAAACTTGTAGTTCGTCTCGAGACCGTTGATCGACTGCTGTATGAACGAGATCCCCCGATCCTGCTCCTGGATGTAGTCGCGGAGGTCGTCCAGCTGATCTTGGTGCTCGACCAACGGTGGATCCGAGCCTCAGGGAAGCGTCTGGATGGCCAGAGCGGCCGTGAGCTCGCCCACACGACGGAAGAGGCGCGTGGCGTATCGATGAAGCTCCTCGCGCGTGCTGTGGGGATCGAAGGCGGATCCCGACGATCCACCACTCGAGGATCCACTCGGGTTGGGAACGTTGCTTGCGTTGGACATTGCGATGTTGGAGATCTGCGACGAGTGACGAATAAGAAGAAGTGTCTGGAGTGATCCTGTTTGGCAGCAACGACTACAAACAGGAGGCGATTATGGTGAAGTGGATTCCGGGAAATTACAGACGGGAAGTGATCAGGTCAAGTGGAGTGACAGGTGTGCCTGGATCTGCAGTGACTACCGTGGAACCAGATCTGAGAAGGTATGATGGGCTCAAGCAACTGATTCTGGGGTGATTGGACCAATCTGGAAGAACCTAATTATAGGTACCTGATTTGGGTATGATTGTACCTGAGCCGGACATGATTACTCCGGACCAGTCAGTATCAAGTAAACAAGTTATGTAATCAGGGGTATACATCAAGATCCGAAGATAAGCGGCTGCTGGGAAAGAAGGTATGTGGGTCCAGGTAGTAGAAGATAGGCCAAATCAGGATCAAAGCCTTAGGAATAACAGAGAATCGAATTTGCATCATTGGGTACAAGTGGCTGG